AGAATCTAATAAGAAGATTCCATGGAAATGAAAAACAGCTGATAAGCAAACTTTAAAGGTAGCCTTTTTTTCAATGGAAAAGTTGCAATTATTTCTTAAAAAGCCGGCAACTCACTACTACAATATCTAATTAAGAATCTAACTAGCTTCTCCCTACCACTTCACTCGCGTCCAGTGTAAAAGTTGATGTGTTCCTCGATCGATTGGTGATAATATCAAACTTTAAACAGTTTTAATGGAGCAAGTTTCGCTGTAAAGGAATGAACACCCTTATTGCACTCATTTTATGGTCGTGTTTGGCCAACAGGCGTACTTTAGAAACATTACGAAAACCGCGTTGTAAGGCACATATTATAGCAGACTGGCATATCTATAATTCACATAGAATTGCAAACTATTACGTGCATCCAATGTCGTCTACCTTTTAATTTAACTCGTTGAGGCTACTTGCGAGACGTATCGTCAGTAATGTGATCGCAGCTTAACTTGATGTCATTGAGAAATAATAGTTTAAAGATGGCTGCGCGTTTACGTACGTGGGTATTATACAAATGCCGCAAACATTTTCGTTTTTTAACCGACTTCAAAAAAAAAGGAGGAGGTTATACGTTCGGCGGTGTGTGTTTTCAGATTTCTCCGTCAATTGTAGACCAATTTTGAAAATTCTTTTTTTTTTGTTTGAAAGAGTATATATGCTGTTCCAGGTTCGTTTCGGCTATCACAAATTAAAAAAATATTTTCCACAAATAAAAGTCGAGTTTCCATTTGACAATACATGTAATCAATAAATCACCGTCATCATGACAACCAGAAAAAAGTATAAAATGTACAAGGGAGTCCGTAACAGTCCCATTGTCACTAAGTCAGATTCTGATGAGGGGATCCCATAGAAATAGGGAAAATGCCGATAGCAAACTTTTCAAGCCGGTTTTTTTTTTTTCAATGAAAAAGTTACAATTATTGAATATTCTACTGATGCCCTGTAGACATAGCTATCGCTATCTGTCGTGCCAGCCATACTAGGCGGGAGAATCTAACCTATTTCTGCCGCCAAGTAGTAATATGAGCTTTACTGCGTTTCGGTTTTGAAGGGCAAAGCTGTTTGCGCGCTACATCTGATTCGTATCAGGAGTAGAGTAGACCCTCTCGATCTCCGTTCGACATCCGTCCGAAACAGTTACTGCCAAATAAGCAATACTTGACCAAATGTAAAGACGCGTGATGCGAATGAAGCTTCATACTGGATACTTGTAGTAGACCCCCAGTACCGAATCCTAGAAATGACGGTCCGAAATGTCACGGATGTCCGAAGTGTCATTTTATCTGTAGGTGTACAAGCGATATTTGTATTTTCTCGGATTGGAATCGGACTTAGTGCACAAGCGACATCCAAAATGGATCCGAGTTTTCTAGATTTCTAGACTCGAATCAGGAACGAATACGAGTCGGATGCTAGTGAAATTACAGGAAGATCAGATCTTTGCTATTTAAGGCTCTGAGTGGTCCAACTGTTATGGACAGGCGTGTAGCGTACCATCAGGCGCACGACTTGTACGTTCCGTAACTTGATATCATAAAAAAAAGCAGGCTAGTGTTTTCGCCCAGTGTAGTGTATTTAGTTTTATTTCATTTTTTTTGTTTTTTATTCACCGTGTTTACTTAATCTCCTTGTTATTAAATACAAATATAAATCAACAACAGGCTTCGTCACATAAAAATCAACAATGCAATTGCCCAGACTTAGTAATTTCTATTTAATTATACTGCTGCGTTTCGCCTGTAGTGTTGTACGGTGGCGAGGCCTGGACTCTAAAAACCGACACCCAGAGGCGTCTTGAGGCCTTCGAGATGTGGTGCTACCGTAGAATGCAAGGTCCTGGACTCAATTCCCATCAGAATTGGGGGAAGGAGTTTACACTTTAGTTTACTAAAAATCTTTGTATTAATAATTATAACAAACTAGTGGAGTAATTTCACAAAAAATAATTGAATATCAATTCAATAAAAATTTAATTAACACAGTGAATAGCGACATCTCTCGCCAGGACTGGTAGCTGTAAAGGTACTAACTGGGTGATAAATCTGTCATAGATTTCTCATAGATGGCGCTACGACTAAAAAGTCGTTGAAAGACCAAGTACAAAGACACGACGCAAGCACATAGAGAAATTCGTGAGGTCCGTTGGTTCGTTCCGTGGCTTAGTTGGTATAGCGTCTGGCACGGTATGCAAGAAGACGTCGGTTCGAATCCGACCGGATCGAAGGATTTTTTTCTGAGTGTTTTTTCTGAGTGTTCGATCTTTGTATTAATAATTATTACTAAAAATCGTTTTAAAGGGTAAATCAAAACTTTGTGAACTCCCGATATTGCGCCAGCGTTCTGTAGCATGGCTTATACACCCACAAAGGAAAACCGTAAACCGTATGTGTGTGGTGTCGATGATTGACTTCTGTTAGTAACAATATTTTATCAGATAAAAAGTACATCTATTCTCGCGCAAGTCGCGCCCTGTTATGCTAGCGCTGCAGATGATGTAGGTGGAGTCAGATTACGTTCTGAAAGTAGTCTGTATTAGTGATTCATCGGAAGTGTCATAACGGAACCTGAAACGGAAACAGATGCCGAAAGTAAATTTTAGCGGAAACGGAAGCGGAAGTGTAAATACTATAAAGAACTCTATAAAATAGGTAGTTCGGGTTCGTTTTTGGTTTCATAATTTAAGTGCAATTATTACACAATATAAAAAACGCACGTAGTAGCGCCGTTCCTAGCATAAAGTTCCTTTATAATAATTGCGGAAGCAGAAACGGAAACAGATGTGGAAAAGCGTGCGGAACCCCGCAGTTGCGGAAGCAGAAGCAAGGTCTGTGGCATCATTAGTCTGTATTGACAGACGTGAGGATCTACGAGAGTGAAACCCATTTAGGCAGATCGTGACCAAAATTTTGACTTTCCGTAAATGGTATTCCATTTACAAAGATTGGTACCTGTGTAAATACAAAATACTTTCTTATAGTACACTTCAATTGCCTACGAATTATTTAAACATTTCACAACAAACAAGATATTCGGTTAAAAGGTTTAATTATTTAACACGTAAAGAACACGAAGCCGCGTTTGTGTGCATCAGAGAAGCACTTGCTTTAGACCTCTAATTAGAGGGTCTAGGTTACAGGTCCACTGCACCGGTCCAAGGTAATTTTAACACCGCGTAGGGTACTTTTTCAAGGTTATTTATAATCAGAGATAAGAATAGGCAAAGTATGTTTACTTTAAATTCTGGTAAGTAATACGTATAGAGGTGATAATGCCTGCCTCTGAAATCCCGAAAAAATTATAAGTCTTTCCTACTAAATACGCTTCCGTTAAAGTAATCAATAGCTAAAATATTAACGTCTAAGATATAGAATATTACTGGTTGTGACAGAAATAGAGGCTGATTATTGAGACAAGATTTGTTGGTTTGTTATTAAATAACTGGTCTATTTACTGTGTACACATACGAATTTTTATATTTTTATTATAAAATAATCTCTTCATCTCATCAAAGTAATGATGAAGTCGCGATGGAGCATGCACACATAGTTTATGCCTATTCACTCTCGCCTTGAAAAGAGTCAAGTTATATCGATCAGGGAACAAGTCTGCGGGCAGGGAATTCCACTCCATAGCTGTTCGCCATATAAATGTGGAAGCGAAGCGTTTCGTGCGAATCCTTGAAATATCCACAACCCCAGCCTACGTCTGGTCCCGCGATGATGAAAGGGAAAGGCGGAATTAATTCATGCTATTCTCTCGCACACTCTCCGTGATATATCCTGTAGAATACCGATAAAGCAGGCAAAACTTTAGGGCGGTGTTCAAGGCTCTCTATCTTCACATCTACTAATTATTTTTGTGTTAAAATTTATATTTACATTTATTTAAATCTATAAAGTCGATCATTCTACACCTAAGTATTGTGTATTCAGCTATTTGAGAATTTAATGCTGAATAATTAGAAAATGAAAATCAGTATCAAGTTCACTTTATTGTCTATCTTTAGTTTCCATTCTGTTTCCGTTAATTAAACCTATCATCTATCTTCGGGGTTTCTCTCTGACAAGATTATCCTAAATTGTACTTAATTATCCGTAAAAAATTAATAAATAATTTTGTTTTTAATTTAGTCCTAAAGACCTTAAAAACTATGTTACGGTAAGTAAGTAGATAACAGTGCTACAATAAATAGATGACCAACTTACAATCAGTACAAATTCAAAGTAAATCTAACTACAATACAAACTATGTATTCCTGACGGCTTCTCCTAGGTGGTCTCGCGCATGGACGTGTATCTAGTGCCTACGCTAGCACAGTTAACTCTGCTTTTCTAGTGTACTTAGCACGGAAACATTATATTAGAATCTTCCACATCGGCTACCATCCTGGCCACCTCCGTAGTTGGCATTACCGCCGCCGTAACCGCCGCCACCACGGTTATTGCTGTATTGTTGGTTCCTTGAAAATCTCTCTGATTACCTAATTCCGAGCCACCTATAAACCTCTTGGTTACTACTACACGACCGGACTTGTGTTTGGTACAGCTGAAGCAACTGTCCCGATATATATGTAGTATGTACCTGTATGTACATATGTATATTGAAGCAGGCATGAGGTACATATACCCGACTTAGCCTGTACAAGCTTTTACTAGCATTTTATCATCGTTTAGTAAACAATACATAGATAACCAGGGCCGATAATGTTCCTATCTGTATCAGGTTGTTGATCGGAAATTCAGTCATTTATGATTTTCATGTGAATTGCTAGATATTACTTTAAATGCGTCATTGCTATTGTAATATGTTTATTAGCATCCGAGAGTGCTGCGGAGACGGAAATAGAGGACTCTAGGTGTGCCAATGTGTTCGGTCGCACATGGTGTTACCGTTTTATATTTTACAACGTAATTCCGCAACTGGACTTGCATTTGGTTCTAATACAAAGTTTGTTTCACAGATCAGGAGAGCGCAACAGGTCGCAAGTCATTCGATCTCGATCCCGACTTGAACAACATGACTAAGAAGAGCCTCTGCACTGGGCGGTTTATGACCATGCACAAGAGACGCAAAAAGCGGCTGTTGACCAGATCGCTAGATCAAGAAATGGCTTTACTCGACGACTTGCAACCTGGACAGGTCCAGGTATGTCTAGAAGTTATAGCCGTACCGCACCGATTTCTGAAAACGAATACTACATAATAATATTTCACAGAATAGACGGCAATCGTGCAAACTGGCGTTGTTATAGTTAGTAAACAAGTTCAAGTTCAGAATACAAATTGAATGAGCTCGGGAAAAGTGGATCGCTTAAGGAACGCCCTTACTTTTGCGAAGTTTTCTTTAGAGTGTTGAAGAATTTCTTATACTTTTTAATGAGTTGTATCTTGAACTGTTACTATTTACACAGAATGAGATGAGTTGTGCCGGTTAGTTTCAAATTAACTCGAAGAGCTTTGAGCGAGATTTGTAGTTCCAATGCCTGCGGGGGAAGGCGGACTCAATCTATACAATATACGGTTATAGTGAAATGTCAACTGATTTTTCAACACAACTGTAGTCTCACAGTCTTCTTCCTTCTTAGTGCGGCAAAGATTTTGTATACACTATCGGTATCTATTTTTCCCAAAAAGTACAGTTTGAGGCCAAGCGTCATTGACTTACAATTATATGGACGTCGGGTCCGCGCTAAAAAGTGTCCGAATATTTTATAGGGCGTTAAAATCGTATACAGAGCGTCATTCACGCTCTAGTCTTCGTTTGTTCGACTGACAGCGAAGCAAGCAAAATTAGACAGTACTCCGATGACATTACAATTTAAATTCAACGTTTTAGATTTGTCATATTCCTTGACATGTCACTACGTTTAAATAGGATGACTTGGGACATTTTTTGGTTTTTGTATTAGACCCGTCGTCCATTTATTTGTAAATCAATGCCAAGCGTAATCTATTTTGTATTAAAAAAGAAATGCGACCCTGGTGTTAATTCAAAAGCATTTTTTGAATACAGAATTGTGCAAGTCTGGGATTGGCTTCCAGAAATATTGATCTTTATATCACATAACCAACCCTTAAATCGTAAATGTAAAATTCATTTTCAAGTGGACTACATTCGAGTCATGCAACCGCCAATGGTCGCCCACACCACCCTAGTTGTTGGAAGAATGCTTGATCGCCCTAATGTAGTATATTTGAAATTATGAAGAATTGTTTATATTAGATGTTTGTAACTGCGAATTAAGATAATAATAGAGTTCAAAATACGTTTGTTACGATGGCATATCGATAGTTTGTCTGTTTTGAAGACGGAGTGAAATGACATTTAGTCATGTAGTTGTTGTCGACGTTTTATCGATAGATTGTGAAAGAAGGTAACATTTTGCCAAAAATGTCTGAATTCTGAATGTTACTACGTTCTAATGATTACTAATTGCGTTATTGCCTTTTTTTTGTCCTACTACTTTCGAAATAAATTTTATTCATACACAATACGGACTGGCGTATTTGAATTAAAAACTATAAAATCTCCTCTTTGTATTTTTTAATAGATATATTTCTAAATGTAGTGTATGTATGTTTAAACTTACAAAAATTGATAATTCAAATGAACCTGTGCCCAGCAGTTAGACGAACAATTTCCCGATGATGATTCAAATGAAACAAGTGCGGCTTTTTATTGCATAAGTCTAACCAACATTTAGCCGATAGTCGATAGAATATTTATCGACTGCAATCACTAGCTGCTTGCAAGCCGACAACACTTGAGCTGTCATTTTATTCCGTCTTCAAAAATGACAGACTATAGATCCTAATTGAATACAAAAGTTATAGCACGTTCTTGTCCCCACGTTAGGTTTCGGCTGTAGTTGTTGCCTAGCGGGAAAAGTAAAGAGCGTGAATTAGGTTTATGTATTGAAATGTTAATCAAATTTATCAAAAGTTTTTATGTAAAATTCTTTATTTTCAAAATTTCATTTTATCATCTTCGACCACTTCTAAGGAGAGGCCATAATTAACATTCTTAATAGAGGTTTTCCTTTACCGTTAGTGTGAGGTATTGTATACTATACAGTCACAGATTAACTTAGACTATAAAGTACGTGCCGCCACAGGGACTCGAACTCGCATGCTTTTCAATTGAGGAGCAAACCTTCGCCCACCAATCCATTAACGCTCTTTTCAAATGTTATCCAGACACTTAATGAGTCGATGTAACCTCGAATGACTTTACTTGATTCCGCATAAACAGTGAGTGTTGAATCAATAGCTTTGGAATAAATATATAGTGTAATTGAGGATGTACAGTGTACGGGGTGAAAACACGATTCCAAAAAACTTTCACGGTAGAAAAAAAAACACAAACTTACCTCGAAATTTTACAAAAAATCCAATACGTTCTTTACATCAATTGTTTACTTATATGATATACATATTTCAAATGGTTTTATTTCGTTTGTAAAAAAAAATCTAAAATAAAGAATTCGAGCGGAGGTAGTATCAACTCTTAATAGAAAGCATTAAGTGTTACGCGTAAATGTGCATAATCCTTTGTGTGCAACCGAGATCGTGACATACCACCGTAATGAGTGTTACTTATAATCAAAACAAGCCTTGTGGTTATTACCAAGTTATTAACGAAGGTTGTTTCACGTGTTACTATACTATTGCATAAGTCATTGTTGTACCATTATGTTACTAAGAGTATGATATGTGTATACCTAATGTTGTGTGTAGTTGTATTGTTATCTATATATGCAGTATACGTACTGTAAGTAATTTTGAACAACGGTTCAAGTGGAGGGAACTCGTTGGATTGTATTACCTTCTGTGAGGGAATACGAGTACTTATACAGAGTGTAACAATTATACTCCATTTCACGTAGCATGGGTGACGGTGACGTTTGAGATTTGAAGTTTCTAGAAATGTAGTGCTCTACATGAGCAATCGCGCGTTTGCATCGATGCAGTTGTGTTTTTGTATCGATGCAGTCGCTCGTTTGTATCAATGCAGTCACGCGCTTGCATCGCTGCTTAAAATAACACGCGTGTCAAAAAGGTAGATAGAGAATCGATTTTAGAGTTACTATACAACAATTTAAATAATCAACAACAACTAAGCAAAAGTCAACAAAAAAAAACATAAAATCCACAGAAACTAAACGAAATTTGAGCAATTACTCCAAAAACATCACGCAAAGCTCAAAACAGAAAACAAACCACAAACAAACATACAAGGTGTATGCACTCGCGATGACGCGAGATACACAATTGCCGATTCGAGTTATCGATTCTTTGGTGTAAATCTCTACGGATAAATATTCCGTTTTAGGCATCAAGTATTTGGTGTAATCTATTTTTATCTTTATCATTTCAGTTTCTATCTACTTTAAATACTGTAATTTTTACTTAATATTGCGATTGAAACGAACATTGTTTGTTTTTGGTCTATTGTAACAAATTTACTATTTCTTTTTTTAACCTGATGGTGAGAGTAATTAAATATAGTATGCATGCACCGTAAAAATTTAAAATGTCACAATACCCACCCTATCTGAAATGGACTATAGTTGCGATTATTATTTGTTTTTTTACACTCTCACCTCTCCCATAGAGGCGGTATTTTTCGGCAATGGCTCAGTCGGCCGGGGTCAGGAATTCTGGTTCCAGAGCCGACGAAAAATACGTGCCGAATCGAGTCCGCTTCGAGTCTGCAATAGTCTGGACGCGACGCGGCACAAAAATCCAACAGCTTCCAAGTTGTTTAACCATTATTACGGATGGATTAATACTCCAGGAGCATCGTCGGGCCGTTAGAGGGCATAGTCCCACTTAGCTTGAGGTTGGTCAGTCCTTCTCCAAGCGTCAGTGTTCCGTGGGAGTCCGGGTTTCATTCCCGCTCATTACCAGGGCCTGTTTACAGTGTTTGGTCATGTAGGCGTTAATCAGGGTTTTCGAGTCAAGTCTATTGGCTTGCAGCCAAACGTCCCGGAAGGTGCGACCGTAAAATGTTAGCAAAATAATAAATTTAGACAAGTAAAATAATAATTGTAACCTAAATCAGTGCGACAAATGGGACGTTTGTTGGACTAAAAAGCAAATTGCGTCAGCCTTTGCGAACATTGTGATGATTGATTTTTATTTTACAACCTGTATACCTACTGTGTAAGTCGAGAAACATTTCCATCTTCTTCTCAATATCATATCCAATATACTCGAGCGTAGTATATTGGAAATTCAAGAATCGCTACCTCGCCTTTCTAAAGGAATGCATCACATTTTATGCATTCATTACTGCGTTCTCTCTTGGCTTCATTATGTATAATAGTTACGTCGCGCTATAGAAGCTTTACAAGCGATTTCCAATAACAAACGGTTGACAAATTCTGTGTAAATAGTACGAATTCACATTCTAATGGGAGATCTCGACGTGTACGTGTTTGACTCAACTATTGTCACCTATTGTTTTGCCACCATGGTCATTTCGGAGTCCACAGTCCTTCACGATATTGCAGTGTATTGTTCGCAGCGCCGTCGTCGTAGTCGTCTCCACGAAATTTAAATGTCATTTGTTCGCATTCATGACGCGTCTACACGCACTAGGTAGGTAGGTATAGCCCAGTGACATATTGTCGGATACAGCTCTGCGTTCTAAGTAGTGCGAGCAAGGACGGCAGTACAAGTGGGAAATGCTGTTTCAATCTAGCAAACGTCATGCTATTCACTTCTCTGTGACGTCACCAAATTTATTTGAATATCAAGCGAGCGTGTTGCGAATTCCAACGACTTTCCTTGGTACAATTAATATTTTACTTAACAGCCTTTTTTCCGTTGACAAAATGTTGCCTCTTACGAACAAGGAAACAGTGGCGTGATCTTGAAGCTATACACATTTGAACACAGTTGAAAAGATTACGTGCACATGTGTGTGACGGCGTATTAAAATTCCTTCCTTGGTGCGGTGACCATTGAAGATCGGCCAAGAATCTGGTAAACAACCGCACTTCTTTGTTAAGTGGGTAGGTACATTTTGAAATTCATCCGAGATTCGCGTTGCGGATGTTCACCTCGCGACCGACTGCCGGATATATATATTTTTTTGTTTATACATACATATTTATATGCCATGCTCGGCTGCGTTGTTCTTCCTAATATAGCCCATGCGGACGATTACACTTGTACTTAATTATTTGATGTTTGTGCTGATGCGACTGTACTTGTGTGTACTAATGATTGTTTTTTAACTTTTTTTTGCAGTGCATCCTTGAACAGTCTGTGCTGTGGAAGTTCAATGCATTTACGTTAGAAAACGTTACAGGCGGTAATTATTGTTCTTTTGTTGTTTCACCAATAGCCTTCATTTGAAAGCGAAAACGCGGTACCATTTGACTTTAAACATAATTTTAAAGTGTAGTAACTGGAGTTGTATAGGTTTTGTTATGCACACACTGGCACATTTAGATGAACAAACAAATTGGGAATATGAAGTAGTAAAAGTTTATACTTAAATAAATTTTAATTAATCATAAGGTGGCAATTGTATTAACATCAACTTAGTACAGCCTTCTACATATTTTTTTGAAAAAAAAATCTAAAATAAAATGCATTTCTTTTATTTTAGGTTTTGTGACCATATTGGTTAAATCAAAGTTTAATAAATAAAAAATACTTTTTTAATTAATTTTTCACGAAATTTACAAGAAACACTCGACAAACCTGTTAGTGGAAAATGAAAACAAATGGATGAAAAGTAAACCTAAAATATAGAAGCAAAATAACCGACCTGATTTGAAAAATCACTGAATTATGTTGGGTATTTTACCAATGTTCCCTTAAATGTGCCGGTATGTGTATTGTGCCAGAAAATTTTGAAGCGCCATTTACATTGTTACAGCGCATTTTTTAAATTAACCCCCCATAACATCGTTTCTTTCCTTACAAAAACATTCTCCATTAGTAGTTGTATGTCTATCTTTTTTATATACTAGGTAATGGTAACTCATATTTAGAATGTGTTTAACACCACTACAAGCTCAAGATGTGAAATTCTCAATCGAAAATACATTGCCATGAATATTGTCTAAGAGCGATGTCACACGGGCGTAATACTACATTATAAATCAGAACGACATGCCACTCGGTGCGATGAAACGGCGCGTCACAGCTAGCAACTTAGTACATTGAAAAAAAAACGAAAAAAAAAAATGCTTTGTGACGATGCAACGCCCATGTGGCATCGCTCTAAAAATGTAGTTGGCGACAGTGGCTCAGGGGAATATGATATTTAACATTGACATTTGAGTATAATGAAATTAGACTTCGACATTTTGAAACTCTTTGCCTATACTAAATAAAAATATTTGCATAATCAAACTAGAATTAAAATATTTTTATTTCTAAGCAAAGTACAGTTGAAATAATGAGTAAGTAAGTCTAGAGCAGGGTGTCTTAACCATTTTCTTGTGTGTCTTAATCATTTCAATTATATTTATGCATGATCGACAACTGTCACTACGGATTTTTTTAATCACTTTAGTTTTAGAATTCCGCTAAAACGAATTTGGTACTTTTAATGCGCAAAATTCAACATCTGTCGCATGTCACGCGAATTTCAGGCATATATTTGTCTTACAAATTTGGGCGGAGCCAACGTCAAAAGATTTTTGGCATGCTCCCTCTTTTGTTGCTTTGTGAAGACGAGTGTCAAGACCGCCAGTTCATTTTTGTTCCTTGTAAGTATCGATATCTATTAACTGCGTTTGTCATTATAAATTTCATGAAAGATTACAATATTTTCTTTATAAATGCACTGATGCCAGTGGAATAATGTTAATTGCTTCAAAGTTATCTATTATCTAAGAGTCGTAATCGGTCTTTAGTTAAGAAATCGGCTTGCAATTCTAAATTGAATTATTTAAACGATAATGTACCGCCGCGGATTAAAGATTAATTGTGTCAGAAAGCTGATTAGCTCATTCCAGTCTTGTTAATATAAGATAATAATGACATTTATTCAATCTACCTTAAAAACTTAATATGATAATCTGCTTCAACACCTCTACGCACTGAATTTATTAGATGATAGAGTACCGATTGTAAAATTATTACAAATTTACGTTACTACTACTTGTGGTTATCTTTTTGTATGGATTAATAATATTTAACTTTTATCTTTTCAAAATTCACCAATTGGTGTTCATTTGTAACAGCCTTAAAAAAAGGTTCTCCAATTCGATTGTATTTTTGTGTGTATGTTACGCGTTTATTCTTTACGTTTAGCGTTTGTGACCCGATTTTGATGATACTTTTTGTTGGAGGGTACCTCAATGTTGGCCCCATTTCAATTTAAAGAGAATATTCCACCTCTAAGGATGACAAGCTAAGGGATGATTCCGGTTTTGCGCTCTCCTCGTAACCGATTTCAACAAAACTTGGCAAACAGATGTAATTCCACGATCTATTGCGGTCAATTGCCAATTTATGGTGAGACGCGCTAATTTTTTTACGCTATTGAAAACGTTCAACAGCGTCAAACAAAGATCTATGTGCAAGACTACTTGCTCTCAGAACATAGTACATTTCGTTCGTTCTTCTTCGCTGTGGATGTCAGATCGACCGTTGTTCGATTTTATATTTCCGAAACGAACTAAGATATATAATTTCTCAAAACGCCCTTTACACAAGCCTTAGTTTGAATAACGAAATTATGCATTTATCCTCTGTATAATCACATCGGACTTTGTTCTTCGGATGAGTCGATGTTCGAGATTTTGGCGCGAAACGAGTTTGCAAAAACAATGAAATCCGCGCGTTTTTGGCGCACGCTTGTAGAAGGCACTCGTGCGCGTCACTCGTGCCAGATACCACGTGCTAACTTCCGAGCAAACTTCGAGACCGATGCTTTCAACCTAACCTAACCAAATTCGAACGTCCATCGAAGGTAATTGTATTAGCGTCGAATGTTGTGCAATTAGAGCGTGGAAACGGGAGGACATCTACGTGGCTGAAGTATTTCGCTGAGAAAAGTGTTCGGCAAACCCAAAAAGATGCTTATATTCCCGGAATATTCTCCAAGTGCACTCCAAAATAGACGCTATCCTACCTAAGTTGCAATACCAATATTGTAGCGGGTCTTCACCTTGTTATCGAGCGGTAAACAATATACACAAATATGTAGCAGTTTACACATTCCGATTGTGTCTTCCATATGCATCGTCTACAATCCATGCAGTTCTATTTACAACCTGTACTGCGCAGTTGACGGAAATCCAATCTCCTGATGAACCGAAGTTCACTTTATCCTTTGTGGGGTGCCCTGCCTTTGAATGAAAGTCGAAGAGTCCGGTAAGGCACATTCAATCTCATTAAAAACGACAATTGATTTGTAGTACCGTGAAAGTGGTCTGCTAGCTACAGTAAAAGCGACGGCGATTCAATTTACCTGACAACTAATTCTATAATCACTTTTAGTTATCATTTTATCGCACCACATGTAGAAGCACTCCGCTGGAAAGTTGTAAAGTTATATTGAATTTCATGGATGAAACGTCGTTTTCACAACTACAGTCCCTTGTTTACAACTCATCACTCCACCTAATTCTTTCACCGTTGTTTCTTTACAGTAAACACACTGACGAAACTGACCAGAAATCATTTGTAACAAAGTCGCGTACATCTTTGCCTATTTAAGGAACAACAGAAATTTCACAAGATTTTTAGTTTACCGACGGAACTTTACATGATAATAATGTGGTTGCGTGTTACAAATCAACATGTTTGGAACAATCGCGCATTTGTAACACTCGCCGCAGCGACAATGTTAGTAACTTCACGGGCATTTATCTTTTTGCCCGGTTGTGTCAGACCTTAGAAAATTCTGCCCACGCCAATACGGTGTTACAGCCTTCACGGTGATGTATTCAGAAACTGTGCGTGTCGTGCACACCTGCGCTCTACAAACCGTAATGTTGTCACCACTCCTCAGACTTGGAGATGGTGTTCTTGCTATCTGAACGTGTAAAATTGACACCACACCCAAATTTAAATCGCATCAACACAAGCACATGGGACTTGTCAACTTTATGTCTCAGGGTGACGGGCGCAGTGGCAGTGCCCCTCAGATCTTTGCGATTTAAAGCTCTGAGTGGCACTGCAACTGTTGTGTTCGTCCAGTCACATAATATAATTAAGAAAAAATCTTGGTAGTAAGGTAATAAGTTCAAACTTGTAAGCATCCGCCCCGACGACTCTCACCCGTGCTCTTGCTTTTTGGACAGAGTTATCACGTCACACAATCATGATCATGTGATATCTATTTAAATATTTTTATTTAAGTTCGAAAGTAAAATGTGACGAATTATCAAAAGTAATGGAATAAAAGTCGTTATTTATGATGTTATTAATATAACGTGACCGTTATTTTTTTTCCTCAAAGCGGGACGCCTGCAAATTTATTATTGTTTTAAAAAAACGCCTATTTATGATAGTTACGAAATATTTTTCTGAGTGTTCGATCTTTGTATTAATAATTATAACAAACTAGTGGAGTAATTTCACAAAAAATAATTGAATATCAATTCAATAAAAATTTAATTAATATAGTGAATAGCGACATCTCTCGCCAGGACTGGTAGCTGTACAGGTACTAACTGGGTGATAAATCTGTTAAAGATTTCTCATAGATGGCACTACGACTAAAAAGTCGTTGAAAGATCAAGTACAAAGACACGACGCAAGCACGTGGCTTAGTTGGTATAGCGTCTGCCACGGTATGCAAGAAGACGTCGGTTCGAATCCGACCGGATCGAAGGATTTTTTTCTGAGTGTTCGATCTTTGTATTAATAATTATATGAAATATTTATTAATTAAAAAAATAATAATAAAAAAGAACTAAAAGTATTTAATGAATGAAAAATTAAAAAAGAACCTTGTGTAATCTGGTGCTGTTATTTTTATAGCTTTCGCGACATTTTTTTTTTAATTTAGTTGTTATATACGTGTGTTCATTTTTGTGAAAGCGGGAACTTTTAAGTATTGAACAAACTTAATAGTAAACATCCAAACCAATTCATCTAGCAAAACTGTTTTTCATCATAATCCAAATTGACTTACACATGTAGAAACCGAGGTTGCTCTCAGTAAAGAGCGTACTTCAAACGCGTTCCGTAGACATGATTGATACTCGTAAACCTCTGTACAAAAACTATATCTCGAATGTTTCAGCGCCATCCATTGTGACGCTCGACATTTGTTACAGTGCACTGGGTACGTTATAATTACGATACTAATAATTAATATTTAGGGAATTGATAATTACAACATTATTATTTTAAAAAAATGCTCATCGGCTTCTTTATTGCAATTAAGTCTTTGTGCCAAGTTTTATTGATATCGGTTAACGGAAAGTTTGCCACCCTCAAAGGTCGAATATTTTCTTCAAATTTAAATGGGACCAATATTGAGATAGGTACCTTCTTTCCAACGAAAAAAGAATCATCAAAATCGGTTCAGCGGTTTGGGCGTGAAAATGTAACAGACTGAGTTACTTTCGCTTTTTTTATTATTATGTCATGCGTGATAGTTATAATTTGTTTTATCAAAATAAGTCACTTGAATCACGTTATAAGTCATTTAAATCATGTGGGGACACGGTCACTCTTTTGAATTGAAACGTGATGACACAACCGGGCAAAAAAGGCAAATGCCCGAGAAGTTACTAACATTGTCATTGGGGCGAGAGTGATCATATCCCCGTACATGTGTTGAAATTTGTTCGACAATGTCATAATCCCCCCGGAATATATGACTTCAATTCACATTGCACATCCTGTATAATATTTAAACACAAGAATGAAATCTTGGAGAATGATATAGAATTGCATGAAGGAAAGACGCGAGGACACCATTTCATCTTTCAAATTGCGCTGAATTTCTTTTAATCCTTAGTATTGTTTGATTACCGCTCTATTAATATACAGTCTAGATATATTCTCGGAAGACGTGCTTATTATCTTCGAATGGTTCACGTTTTACTTTAGTATTTCTCGCATTGATATTGCCTTCATTAACACTTTTTTCTTTGCATCCAGGTCGCTGTCTGCCGGTGCTGTGTGTTCATCTGTTTCACATCTATGGATTGATTTCGTACTTTAAACTCGACGCGGCTAAGACCTGGAAGTTGTTCAGCCTCATCGAGGAAGGCTACCATAGCACGAACCCTTACCACAACTCTGTTCACGCTGCAGACGTCACACAAGCTATGCACTGCTTTTTGCAGCAGAAACAGGTGAGTGTACTGTCTTTGTAATATCAAGTTTATATTCAATAAATTACTAAGGTGGTGGCAACAGTGACCGACATCTTTTCTAAAATTATTTCTTGATAAGATTTAGGACAAAATTCCTATTTTACAAAATCATTATAAAAAATACGAGAGATTACTAAAATAACTGTATTAAAGTCAAAAAGAATAAATTATATACAAAAAATAATAAATTCTGATAATAAAACCAATACTGTATGAGACATAGTGAAAGAAAAAACAAATAAAATATAGAAAAAACCTAAGAAAAATATTCTTAGTTAAAACTCCTTAACACTTTAGTAGCGGATCCTATTTCTAATACATTTAATAAATACTTCGTGTCAGTAGGAAATCAAGCGGAGTTGCTTGCCGATGGTTTGCCTTCGCTTCCAAAGGGACGACCAGTAGTCAACCTGGCTCTAAACTTAATGCATACCGCCTGTGGAACCAACAGAAGTGCACAAAATTATCTAAAAAACAAAAAAGCTTTGGCGTGGACGAATTCCCACCAACATGAATTAAAAAATGTAGAGATGAACTAGTTCTCCCTCTTACATTTTTAATTAATCAGTTCTTTTCAGAAGGCACTGTGCCTGACTCTTTAAAAATATCAATAATCAAGCCAATTTTTAAGCAGAGGATACCACGAACCCAAACAATTATCGACCAATAGCATTTCTTCCAACATTTGCAAAAATACTTGAATCAGCAATGACACAAAGACTCTATTCGTGCTTTGAAAAATATAACATCTTGGATGAGAGTCAACGTGGATTCAAGAAAAACAGGTCAACGACATTGGCGGTATACAAATACATTCAGAAAAAGAAAATATTAAACTTCCTTAATGACAGAAAATATGCGGTAGGTATTCTTTTGGATATGAGCAAGGCTTATGACAGAGTGTCTCGCAAAATATTGTTACAAAAGCTTTATGGCATTGGTGTGAGAGGAACGGCATATGAGTGGTTTAATTCATATCTTACAGGTCGCGTTCAGTACGTTGAGGTTGAATACCATAACCCCAACTCTGGTATTATATCTAATGTGAGATCGCATGTGGTTAACGTGACCCAGTCCATACCACAGGAGAGTGTGATTGGACGCATATTGTTTCTAATATACATTAAAGATCTACCCAAAGTACTAAACTCAACAAGCATTTTATTTGTGGATGACCTGTCGGTGGTCTTTTCATGTACAGATTCAAATTTTAATACTAATGATATACTCAGTAATGTAAATAGCTGGCTTAAGGATCACAATTTAATTATCAATTATACAAAAACAAAATTAATACATTTTAGACCACATCAAAAGACTCCACTGCATATAAATATTACAATGAATAACACTCCAATAGAAACACTGAATACTTTTAACTTACTTAGAATAACAATTGACACAAATATAAATTGGAAACTACACAATAATATCTCAGGTAATTCAGTAGATTTAGTTATGCATCGCTACAACTAAAGAAACCACCGACAGAAGAACAGCAACAGCTGCTTATTATGCTTATGCTCATGCTTGGCTGAGCTGTAGTGTGATTCTGTGGGGAAATAGCACAGATGCTTTGCGCTTGTTCACTACAAAAAAAATGTATAAGAATATTAGTAAACATCGACCCATTGGAAAGCTGCAGGCCACATTTCATTAAAATGAATATTTTTACTTTAACATGGAGATGTTAAAGGTAAAATATTCATTTGATATTTATTTATTATTTTACATTTTCGAAATATACAAATTCGTCAACAAAAACAAACATTTCTTCACTAAAGCAAGGTACACCTACACTAAACCGTTAAACCTCAGACATGAAGATATATTGGCACTACCTAGCTCAAAATTAAAAATGCACAGCACAGGACCATTTGTAATGACAATTAAAATCATCAATGGAATCCCAAAGGAAATTTCATCCTAATCACAGACTAATTCATTTACCAAAAAGCTTAAAGCACATCTGATAAAAAAATGTTATTACAACCTACAAGAGCTTTTTGAAGAACAATGACTATATCCCATTTCAGAAAACAATACCCCGAAGACCGTGGTATCTGTAATTGCATTCAGTACTACTTCGAACTTAATAAACGTAAAGTGTTAGAAGCCAGACAGGAGTATACAGAAAAAAGGTTGAGAGATAGTGGAAATACCTCCAAAGAAATTTGGAAAATAATAAACGAAGAAATCTCGTCAAAACAGGACAGGAAAGATATAACTTTTAAGATCTGTGGCGCAAATAATGTAGAGGGAAAGAGACATACCTGACCATCTAATATCGTATTTTTTAAGTGTCATCTAAATTTAACATTGGGGTGGATGACCGGCGTTCCATGCAATACTTGAGTGACCGCGGAGTGCTGATGTGCCCGACGTTGACTTACCAGCTGTCACTCGTGCCAACCTTGACCGCGTTGTTAAATCCATGCTGAAGACCCGAAACACTCTTGACATATATGACATATCCGTCAACATACTACTGTCTATTTGGCCAATACTATCGGAGATATTGGTAACTCTAATCAATGAGATGTTTACCAATGCTGTCTACCCCGACATGCTTAAGTGTACAAGAGTGTGCCAGTATATAAAAGTAAGGGTGACAAAACATCGGTCGACAACTATAGGCCAATATCGATAGTACCTAACGTCTCCGAAGTTATAGAATCGATTTTGTCACAGCACTTAATGTACCACCTCGAAACCAATACTTTACTGACCAACAGACAATTCGCATATCGACAACACATGTCCACTACAACAGCAGCATATAAAACAATTGACTGTATCAACACAGATATCGATGACAAGTGCAAAATAGCTGGCATATTCTGCGACTTGTCCAAAGCTTTTGACGTCATAAGTCATGACCTACTCATAAAAAAGCTAATGTGCTACGGTCTGCGAGTACGTGGTAGTGACCTACTGCGATCGTTTTTAGAAAACCGAACGCAAACTTTTGAAGTAATGTCGGGTGGAAGAAGGCTGAGGCTGAGTTCAGATGTTCCATAAGGATCTGCGCTAGGGAGTACCCTTTTTATGACCTTTTTAAATGATCTACCATCTGCCGTATCGGAAGGTCAAATAATTGTGTATGCTGATGACACAGCAGTAGTGGTCAGTATGCGCACATACGAGCAACTCAATCAAAAAATCACTACACTTTGCGAACAACTAGAAAGATGGTTTTCTGCAAATGGTTTGATTCTCAACGTAAAACAAATCAAATGTTATGCTCTTTCTGGTAGGCGCTTTCCGAGTGTGAGTATCCAGTGTCCTATTCCAATGAGTGACAAAGGCAAATTCTTGGGTTTTACGTTGGATCCTACCTTGAATTGGAAACAGCACGTAGACTTGCTATGTGATAAGCTGAGTGGTGCGGTGTTTGCTCTGCGCAAACTAAAACCGTTGGTGTCTCGTAATGCGTTGAGCCATGCGTACTTTGCACACTTCCACTCAACCATGACTTATGGTGTTATTCTGTGGGGCAATTCGACAGACGCTGACAGGATAATGCGTATACAAAAGCGAGCGTTACGAACTACGGTTGGCATAACCCAGAGACAATCCTGCAATGCGCTGTTTAGTGTACACCGAATAATGACCCACTACCCCAATATGTTTTTGAGGTCATAATGTTCACGCGGAAACACTTAGCACGGTTTGGGCGAGTGGAGGTGATGGGTGGGTGCCTCAGTCGTGCGGGTCAACTCCGATCAGTACCGAGTCGCAGTGCACTTCACGAAAAAAACCCGCGGGTTATAGGACCCATCTATTATGAGCATCTACCTGCCGAACTAAAAAACGAATGTTGTGAGGAAACGTTCAGGTGCAGACTGAAGAACCTTTTATTGGATAAATCCCTTTACTCAGTAACAGAGTACACTCAAAGTACATAAGAAATAATTGAATTATTATATTTATTAATAAATTTGACATTCATCGTATTATTATACTGTAATATGCATTTATTAGTTATTAAGAATCCATATTGACAGTTTTCTGTATACACTTGACATTCTTAGTATAATTCGTTTGTTTATGACTTTAATTTTAATTATGATTTTGTATTTGATTTTGTACATGTACACTATTGTGCGCTTGTGATTCACTATTATATAATTATAGTAAGGTGAAAAGTTGTGTGTTTCGCTCGGCAACAAAGTTCCTTTACGTCTCGTGTCTTTGAAACCCTCGCTTCGCTTAAGAGTCTATTTTTGAACCACGAGCGAAGCGAGGAATCTTAGGTTCATATTCCAGAACTCTACTCAATGCTCAAGTCAGGATTTGAGCAGACTTGAGTATGATTTCAAGCACTAAGACATACGACTCTAATGGCAAGGACTTGAGTATGATTTTCAGTGCTCTCTGCAACATTCAAGTCCTGACTTGAGTATTGAGTAGAGTTCTGGAATACGACCCTAAGACACCTTCGTTTGTTCAGGTCTCAGTACAAGCACTCGCGTATGCTTGTACTCAAACGACAACTTTGCAGCCTTGCATAACAAATAACTGTTGTTCCATGACGTTTTACAAAACACAATGCATTTACCATAAATAAACGTATCACTTTTGGTGGTACCACCTGACACCTAGATCTTACCTTCAGAACCAGTAAAGATCCTTGTAAAAGAGTTCGTCCAGGGAAATTCTGTTACCTTACCTTTTTCTGCCGTCAAGCACTAATGTCAGCACTACTGTGTTTGGAAGGGTAAGGGTGCTCGTGAAATTACAAGCACATGGGACACAACTTAAACACAACTTATGTCTCAAGATGACGGGCGCAGTGGCAGTGCCCGTCCGAATCTTTGCGAATTGATCTCTGGGTGACACTGCAACTGTTGTTGTACAGGCGTGTTCATCCCATCACATAATATTATGAAAAAAAAAAGAAAAAATCTGTAAGTATTTGGTAGTAAGGTAATAAGTTCAAACTTGCTAGCGTCCGCCCCGACGACTCTCACCCGTGG